GCTGAAATGTTTGGTTCACTTTTCACTTCAGCTACACTGAAAATCAGGAAAAACTGAATCTTGGTCACATTTGCTCACATCAGACTCATTGATCGAACTAGATCCCTCTTTAGCCTGTGTTTAAGAATAGCTAACATATTCATAGAAACCAGAAGGATTAGTAAAGGGGGGTTAGGATAAACTTAAAATGAATAATATTTCCAGGGAACAACGGCCAATATTTTTCAAACATGGGTTTCCAAAGTGAGGATTTAAATACGCCTGATGTTCAGAGGTATTGAATAAGCAAACCTCTCATTGAAATCAGGGGCAAGCATCTCTGAAAAATCAAGGCACTTTTTAAAGGTTTAAATATGGTTTAGAGCATGGAGTTTTTAAAAGAATCAGAGTGAATTAAGAGCACGGGTCCTTTTGAGCTTATCACTGGGTACTCAGATTCAAACACTGTAGCTGACTAGACCTGTTCTGATTATTATTATTCCCAATTACCTTAGGCAATTCCTTCAGTACCTTTGGGTGCATCCCATTGGATTTGTGTTGCAATAGCATTTACAATCCACCAGTCAGGGTTCAGGACCCCTTAGGTGCTGATCATACATATAACAAAAAGATCATTCCTATTGCAATGAATTTATGATCTAAGTCAGAGCGGCAAACAGGCAATGGCAACCGTTGTGCCCAAGGTGTACAGCACATTTTGTCTGTCCATAGGAATTCTTTTTGTTCGAAATCTAAGTTCTGAGTTATTACAGAAGAATAAGTAGATTTAACAGGTCAGGAATGGTAGTCAGTATGTTAAAGGGGTATTTCTTTCTAAGCCTGAGTAACAATTAGTTCTGTGAACCCCGGGGAGTTTTGCAGGAACTAATTGGGGCTAGAAACTGAGATAAAAGGAGCAAAACAAAATTTGGGGTGGGGAGAAATAAAGGACAAAAAACCTCCGTCTTCCTTTCTGCTTCTGTTGCCCACTTGGTGTGTTAATCTTGGATTTGAATGAAAATTTAAGTGTGCCTAAATGTAGTCTTGCCCCTGCTAGAAGGAGTGGATATGTCATCAGTGATCTGTCAGAGTCAATAACATTGCACCGTCAGCCCAGGAGCTTTGCCTCCAGATCTAACATTTCTGTCTGAATTATCAGCTAATGCTCTGACAAATTGCCTGTGATTTTCTTTTTTTCTCCCTGAGTGGATGTGCCTGGTCTGCAGATTAGGTAAACACCGCCTGGCCCTGGCATGTAGCGGTGGCTGCTGATTTCCAGCGAGACGTTTCTGTCAGACTGTGAAAGCAGGAGGGTGTCAAGGTAACAGACAGGCAACCAATGGGAGTAGAAAAGCCGGGCTGCAGATGCTTTCCGGCTTAGGCCTGTTAAAACTACAATCCACTCTCTAGAACTCACTCACATGTCTTCTTTCTGTCCAGGAAGAAGGCAGCATAGATATGCACCTTATAGACTAACACATGCACACACACACGCACAGCATAAGCTTTCATGAAGTTGATGAATTGACCTCATCAGATGCCTCTCTCTCCTTTCTGGCCAGCCATCGGTCCCTTGTCTTGAAATCACACATAACTTAAATAATAAGGTGATCCTATAGTGGATGCATTTCTTTCATCAGATGGACTGCATCACCCACCATCTGAAGCAATAGAAATTGCTACCACTGATGTCCAAAGAACGCTGTTTCTAGCCGTAGTTACTAGTTACCTGCCCTCCCTGCAAACAGCAAAAGCACCATCTAAGCTCAAGTCTCGGGCTCCAGCTGCCTGCTCCCTACCTGCCAGAGGCACAAGCTGGTTTTTAAGCACTGTGGGTTATGATAATCTGTAATTACAATCTTGGAAGAAGACCACAAGTAAGGAAGGGGAAAGGGAAACCCACATCAACCTTGTCATCATATTGCTTTACACTGGCTGTTACAACTCTCTTCTTCACGGTCCCCTACGGAAATGTTCTCTCGCTTGGGAGTCTTCCTCCTGGCTCCTCCATTCACACTCTTGCTGCTGTTAGGGGGGCACCTTTTTCTTCTCAACTTCTCCACTCTCAAACAGCATTTATCTCCAATACAAACGACTTGTCCTGTTTCAAATCTCCTCTGAAAACTTAGTTTGTTCCCCCATTCCTCACGCGATTTACTATTTAGTTCCATAGTGCTATTGTTCAAAGCCTGTCACATCTTTTGGGAGAGAGTTGATGGGAAACCTGCAGGGAGAAAAATACACTGGTGTTCCTTTAGACTGGGGAGAGATGGTGTTGTAAAACCATTTTAAATTATTAGGATTTTGGTATCAATCTCCCTTCAGCTCCTTTGGAAGGGAGCCTTTCCCATCATTGTAAAAGTCCTAAAATCAAGCTGGGATGTATAAGATGATTGCATTACATGTCTCCGAGGCACGGTTTAGAAGAAAAAAAAAGAGCACTGAGAAGACAACAGATGAGGGATTATGGACATGCACACCATAAAGACATCTAGATGCCTGACAGATGAGCTGTGGCAGCAGAATATTCATGTACAGTGCTGAGAAACCAAATGACGAGAGGTAGAGATATTTATAATCCTTCTCAGGTATCTGAATAAACATATACAGCAGCCAGTAAAAGAAATGCAGTATTGGAGGCGTTTTTTTTTTGAGCAATCGTAAGATAGGCACATTGTTCCTTTATTATATCTGCTGTGCATAGCTGTTGAAGAAGGGGAAAAACAACGGGGCTTTGCAATCTACAACATCACACTTATAAGTAATTATTAATTATAAGTAATTAAAGCAATGGATGGAGGATGATAAAAGAGGGATTTAGGCAGCTTTACCACTCAATGCACCAGCTATAAATATTTGGAAATTGATATGCAACATGCATAAGTAAACTTATTATGATGGAAATTAGCAGATATTAGTGCAAATCATTGCTTATTAAATATTAATTTTTCACCTTAAATTCCAAGTGGATTTTATGTAGTATTTGAAATGCACACAGACAAAAAATCAAAAGCAAATCCCTTTGGTCTTAAGTAGCAATATATCTGAGAGCCAGGAAGATAATATCTTTGAAGCAGCCAGGGAAGATGGATTGTAGTTAGGATAGACTGGATACTCGGTGCTTCTTATGTACATCAGGGACAACCAGGAACAGAGACAGGCAGATGAAGGGTAGGATTTTCAAGAGCCACACCTTGTGGACATGTTTAGGCAAAGGCTGAACCAGGATGAGACTTTCCTCCAACAGCAGAACAATTGGGAGCTCGTCTACAACCCCTAGATTTGAGTTTTTCAGGTAGACCATGAAAGCCTGTTTAACTTGAATATGCCTACCTGCTATGGGAAGTTTTATAGAAAGTGAGCTGAATATATAAAAGAATACATAGCAAGTTAACATAACAAGCATTACCCACTGGTGTGTAAGACTATATAGCCTTGCTGTGGGGCCAATGAAAGTATTTTGTCTGGGTTTTGAAAGGGGCTTCTAGACTGGAAAATTTTTCAACTCTTCCTAATGTTCTTCTCTGCAGTTTGCATGTGCATGGAGAGCAAACTACCCTTCTTGAAGGAACATCGCAGGTAAGGGCTAAGACTTCAGTAAAGCCAGGTGAGACATGTGTGTTGTCTTCACTTGTACCAGACCTCGTGTGTGTGGAGTCGGAGGAAAAGCTTTACTCTGCAAGGTTCATAATTGCCTGGTTTCTTTCACAAGTATTAAAATTCACTTAAATGATTGCTTAAAATATCCATCCATCTTTCCGCCCATGGATTTACATTTTCCGGGAATTTACATTCAGATTCAAGAAACAAATAACAATAGGCTAATGTTTCCAGTGCTACCAGGGCTTGTTATGTTACGGTCATTCCTATGATATTTGCAGTTTTTCTGAAAGCCTCAGCTCCCTGATTCAGAGTTAAGTGCAAACCTCAGCTTTTGTTTAAACAAAAAGGCTGCTTCATGATTGCAGAGAAAAGCTTTCAAATGTAACCCCTATCCAGGCTTGGCTTTTAGAGACCGGCATTCTGGGCCCTGTAGATCCTTGGAAAGATCATACGACTGCAAGCCAGACACAAACCTTTCTGGAAGTGGGGAGCATGATCATTTGAAGTGAAAACAGTGCTGACTTCAGGGAGACCAGTGTTGAAGCAAGATATAGGTTGTCTGTTAAGGGAGCCAGGCAGGGGCAGCTGTTTGGGAAGGGAGTCTGAAGCTGGCCTTGCTTAGCCCAGGAGAGATGCCTGAGCAATAAGAACTGTGCAGAGAAACTCAGGCAAAGCAATCAGAAGTGGCTTGCAAAGCGGTTGGAGGAAGGCCTGAAGGAGACTGGTCATGCAGGAGATGGTGCTGGGAAACAGAGAAAGAGGGCACATGGAGCGTAGGTGGGGGTAGCTCCTTTGGATTTAGGATCCTCAGGCTGGACCGTTGGACAGTGCCACTGGAGAAGATGGGGTGGAAATGCCTGAAAATGTTTAGTGTGAGCTCTGCCACTGTTTGGCCTGGGGAGGGTGAAGGTTGTCTGCCTCCTCCTGCACCGGGGGAGATGTCAGTAGCACAGAATGTATCACAGGCAACTTGTACCTTGTCACAGACTTGTATTTACTCCAGGAAGTCAAAACTCCATGACTTTGATGAAAGGCTCCAACAACCCAAGAGCAAGGGGGAGCTAAGCACAGAGATTGGAGGGGGAAACTGAGGCGATAGTTGCTTAGTGATGATACTGCATACCAGTTTCCTGGTTTTGGCAAAGGGGCTTCATAGTGGCAAGGGACACTGGCTGGGTTCTTCGCTGAAGGGTGCTTTACTGAACCAAAGTCTGAAACCATATACACCTTTTCTTGTTATCTGTCTAAGGTACTGACATGCTATTTCCACCCTGAGACTGTGTAGGAAGGATATGTTGTAGAGAATTTGCCAAGCGTGGGTACATTAATGCTATTTCTCTTACCATTAAAATTTCATGTAAATGTATCATAGACAGTTCTTGCTTCCTATTTATAGGTATCTTTCTTACTGCCGTCAACAAAATTATTAAACTCTTTTGTTATAGAAAACTAGCCTGAAACGGAGTCAACCTGGTAAATAATACATATGCTTGTTTTCTCTCCCATACTTATCTTTAGACAGTAGATATCTGTCTGAACATATATCTTCCATATATCTGTGTCAACACATTATTGCAATGGCCTAGTTAAGCAGAAACACCATTGAGAAGCTGTCCAGAACACTGACTTTTCCATTGGTACTGTGTTGAGAGCAAGGCAGGGCTTGCAGGACCCATGGTCTAGGGAGGCCAACAGGAATAAAGGGGCTCTTATTCTTTACTATCTAAGGGACATGATAGCTCCCATGATATTACTGCTGTTTCACCACTTCAAAAAGTCAACCTTCTAGCTGCTGTAAGAAAGCACGCTACAGGAAAAAAGGACTTCAAATGCCTACTAATTATTTTGTTAATCAAGGTTTTCTGCTCCATATTATTAATGAGGCAAATTAAAGCAAGAATCTGTGGTGCCCAGGAAACATCTGCTTGGCAAAAACAAAATGCTAAACAAAGTGGAATTCCCTTGGTGGCTCATTTTCATCCAGATGTGTCTGATTGTATGGGAAGGGTCTGAGGAGGTGATCCTTTTTCTTCCACTGCAAGACGAGTGTGGAGGGTAGGCCCTAGGTCTACACTAATCAGTTCTCACAGGGATATGCCTCTTCCTAGGTTAAGGGCAATTGTGCCCTACCCTAGACTGTGGGCTATCGATTTGTGCACATCTGTGCAACCCCGCAGATGCTGAGTGCAGTGGGTGGGCTAGAGACAGTAAAGCAAATCCTACTCTGAATTAACAGTTTGTTTCAAGGCTTCAGTTTCTTTTTTTTTTGCCCCTTCTTGAAAGCCCTCATAAAAGCTGGCTTTTATACTCCCTGTGAAAGTGAGCAGACATTCGATGCTGAGATGGCAGTAAGCCTCCTAGGCTAAGTGCAGACAGTCAAAAGGCCTGAGGCTGAATCGATTCAGTCTTTGCAGATTAGCCTACTCTAAGCCGTGTAGATTGAACTGATAAGCAAGTGAACAGACATTCACTTCTGATTCCCGAAACACAGCCACATGCCTGCAGTGGCCCAGGACAGAAGCCGGGGGGTTGCTAGGGCGCACCTCCCTGTTCAGCTGGAGCATGTAGCTTGGGCCACGGCAAGCCTGCCCACCCTGTATGGGAGAGATGCAAAGCATTCTGGGTTGCTGGGGGACTTTGAGTTAACTTGAAGCTGGAGGGGATCTGGGACAGAAGTTCTATAAACCGATTTAACCTAAATCAGTTAAGTCTGATACTACATCCAGCCATGGTATGTCTTACACCTGTTTTGGCCATTTTGAAAGCTGTTTATGTGCACTGAACTTTTGTTTTGTTACAGATTTTAACTGGTTTCTGAACACTTATACTGGTTTATGTGTATTTTTATCCCTAGCCCTAGTGTTGTTCATCTCTACAGCTTAATTACTTAACATGTGGGGTTTTTTTTAAATGGAGGCAACATTGTCTGGCAGTCAGAAGATTTAGGCCCCATTCTTGGCTCTTCTACCACTTCAGTATATGACTTCTGCAAGTTAGTTTACCTTTTTGAGTGCTACCTTCTCCCTGGTTCTCTGTCTTGTCTACTTACATGTTCAACATGGAGCCGTGGAGCTGATCTCTTACTACACATTTGTGCAGCACCCAGAACATGAGGTTTTTTATATTGTTTGGGGTCTACAGGATGCTCAGTGAAATAGCCACTCATTTCACAAACTGTTATGAAAATAAGCATATAGATATTTCTGAAGCACTTGGATAGTATAGTGACAAGTGACCCAGAAAAGTCCACAAAGAAACCAATAATTCCATCTTCAGAGGAGTTTTTGGAAAAGGTGTTGTAAATAAAGCATGGAGCTAGCTGCATGCGTGAATGGTGAAGAGAGTGCAAACATTGAATAAGTGCCCACTAAGTGAGTACAGTCCCTCCTGTAAACTGAATGAGGCAGGGGACTTATGAAGTTAAAAAAGTGTCATCTTGTACTTAAGGCAGACAAGGTTCTTTGGGTGAATCTGATATCTTTTATTAGACCAACTTAAATAGTTGGAATTTTTTCCCCCCAACTATTTAAGTTGGTCTAATAAAAGATATCAGATTCACCTAAAGAACCTTGTCTGCCTGTGTCCTTAGACCAACATGGCTACAACCTACATATCTTGTACTTAAAGCTGGTAGTGGGATGTGTATGCACAAAGGAAGCCAATTAGGGTTGTTTGTAAAACTGCAATACTGGCATTTCCCCCTTCTGATGTGGGTTTTTATAGATTATAAATTATAAGTAGTCAGTAAAAAGTATAACTAACTTGAAAAGGCAAAGATTTCTAGGGCGGTATCTTTTACTGGACCAGCTGCACATTTGGGATAGAGTTAGACAAGCTTTTGAATGCAAGACATTTTTTGCAGGTCTGAGGAGTAAAAGCCAGCGCAGCATAGTAAAACATAATTGGAAGAGAGGGGAGAGAAATTCCCAGGAGTAACCTGTCTAATTCTATCTCGGCTACGTGGTTAGTCCGATAAAAGGTATCATATGAACAAATTCGTGTCTCTCATGTGATCCCTGGACCATCACAGCTAAAACTGTTGTCTAACACTGCTATCAAATAGGGCCAAATCTTCAAAACAGAGAGGCTTCTTTGAAGTCAATAGACTTACATTCTTACTATCTGCAGATCTGGCCCACTATGTTATATTTCCCAGGTGGCGCTTCCAGAAGTCCTCCAAAGGAATTCTCACCATTGCAACTGCTTTGTATGAGGAGCAGAAAGTCCTCCCTTGACATACAGTGGAACAAAAAACCCATCTGCTAGAGATTAAGGCTTCTACCATCTTGTGTAAATGCAGACACAGATTAATCACCTTTTTGCTCAGCTGGAAAAATGTCTGCGAATTATGTTGCCAGAAAAATGTACGGGGCTGCACCTATTTTTCAAAGGGCAGAATAAATATGCTCTGGGATCGCTGTTACAAGTTGAGCAAGTTATTCTCAGTGCTGCCTCTTAAAGAACAGACAGATAATAAAAAATGAAATTAGGGAAGAAAAAGGAAAAACAAGCCTACTGTGATTAAGTCGGTGTCCAGTTTGGATGTAAATATTGCCAAAACCATACATTTGACGTGGCCTGCTGTGTCCCACGTGGTGTTTGCAAAGCTCCGGGCAAGTATGATCACCGAGCGGCCCCTAGACATCGATGTCATGTACTTAGCTGATGTGTGTTACCAGAAAGCTCCCACATTAGCAATGTGGCCTCAGGGTCAAGGGAGAGTAGAGAAAATTAGGAGTGCCTTATACACTCGCTGTGTGGTCAGTGTAATGAGGAACTTGAGTGCAAATGCATGTCCTATTTTGTAGACAGTGAAACACTGTGGGACAGCTTGGGGTAGTGTTACAGGCTTTTAAAGTGTCTGGTGTGCTTGTTTTTTAAAAGCCCTGGCATGAGGGTACTGCTAATCGGCGTGGGATACGTTGTTGTGTCTTACTCATTTTAGAGGTTGCATTGGTAATGGGTGATTTTGTTGCTGCTTAAGATAAAAATGGAAATATCACAGCCTGTGCTGGCTCATAGGGTGCCGTTTAATTGGCACGTGTAGATTGCTTGCTGGGGTTTTGTTTGGCTTGGTCCTTTAATATGACTGCTTGTCACAGCTGCAGCTTCCTGTTTTCTTACAGGACAATAATGTGGTTAATGCGGACACCGGACTTTACTGAACGTAGAAAATACAGGCAAGGGAAAATCTAAGAACAGTGCAGGTGACCTATGAACAAGGAGCACATGCGGCCTTTTCATTGTCAAACAGGGTGCAGTCAGAAAAAGTAAACCGCTAAAAACAAAAAAACCCCAGGAAGCTTCAGTTGTATGTGGTCTGCAGCCTTCTCCAGTGCCCCTTGGCTTTCCTTTCCTTTCCTTTCCTTTCCTTTCCTTTCCTTTCCTGCTGCTTCTTGTATGTGCCACATGGTGCTGTTCAGGGGTGGAGGGAAGGGTACCCACAGTTGCTGGAGCTGCCTATATCCCAGAGCAATTCAAGAACCTGATTTGCCTGTAGCTTGCAGTAAGTGCATTGGAGATGGGAACTCTGGCACAGTTCCTTGCGCATGATTATGTGTTTGCAGAAGGACTTGCATTGCCTTAGCACGTCCTCAAGTGTCAGCAAACAGCAACAGTGCCTGGCCCAGAATACAGCCTTCAGGAAACAGGGGCCTGGCCCTGCACAGATACCATCCTGGGTTCCTATGGAGGGCTCTGTACAGAGGCAGCTGAAGACAGCTAAATCCATCACTCTGTCCTTCCCTCACCCCACCCCACCTGACTGTCAAAGCTTTGTTTCCTTTTTTTTCCCCATCCTATTTTGGAAACTTTCTTTGTTCTCCCTGCTCTAACCCAACATGCTTATTGGATAAATGCCTCTTTTAATCCCTTCTAAATAAATAGCCTTATTCTATGAAGACAACAGGACCGTCCCAGTTCTGCTCCTGTAACTAAGAATTTAGGGCAGCTATGTCTAAGTGATCCGTAGGCAAATACAAAGGGCTCTTTTCTTATGATCAGCTCATCTGCTTTGTTGGAAATTCTCCCTTCACCATCTGCTGCATGCCTGCATATTCCTTCCCACTGGTGTGGCTGGAGAAGAAGCAAACCCTTGACTTCACCATCCTACTTTTTTTGGCCGGGGCAGAGGGTGGCAAAATGAGGGCTGGCTGGAAAACAAAAATTTAATTTCACAAAAAATGTTTGTTTTTTGATGGTTTGTTTTTTTTTTAAGATTTTGTTCTTGTTCCACATCAGAACAAAACAGAGGCCATTAGAAATGGAAAACCCCACAAAATGCATGCACTCCAAAATAACCTGTAGTCTGCAAGGAGAACATTTATTTGGGATGAGAGAGACCTCACGTGCAGCCTTTCTTTGAATCTCCGGACTCTTGTTTTGCCCAGAAATTCCATCCTGGACTGGAGGCACCCTTCAATCAAGTGTCTCCAAAACCGATATGGACCCAGAGGAACAGACATCCACCCTCAGCTTCCTCTGTGAAAAATGAAGTTTATTTTCTACCTATGGGGACTTTTACCAATTTTAATTTTCCCTCAGCCTGACGAAGGGCGTGTGTGAATGATAGCTTGCAAAGAAAGATAATTTTTTTGGCGATTTCTTAGTTGGTCTAATAAAAGGTAGCATCTCTGAACCAAGAGTTTTAGAGTTTTGCACTTCTTTTTGTCTCAGACTAACATGGCTACCAAACGTCTCTCCAAAATAGATATGCTTGCACAGAACCTTGCAGTTTCAGCCAATCAGCATTTTTAGATGGAAAAATCCCTATGTGGGATAAAGTGTACACTTACATGTAAGGCGCTGACAGGCATGCAACTCCTGACTGTAAGTCATGGTGCTTCACAGGAGCTCCACTTTGGAGCCAGCTACGTGTGTGCAGCCTCCCTACCCTACCCCCAGTGCTGTCTTCAGAAAGGGAGAGGGGGGAGCTCAGTCTGCAGTTTGCCCAGCCTGCGCTGGAGGAGGGGGTGGACGTATTGGAGCCCCCCCGCCCCGCACCTGCAATGCACCTGCCCCCGCTTCCTCCAGCACAGCCTGGGCAACCCCCAAACTGAGCATCCTCCCCTCCTCTATCCCCCTCCCAGGCTGCAGATAACACCAGGGTCAGGGCTGATCCTGGCCCTGCTCCCAGCAGGCACTGACACAATTTACTGGAAGCGCTTCGCTTCGGAGCGCCTTCATCTGAACTCTCATGTAATGAGGGTTCATTTTTCATGTGATCAGGCACTTTTAAAGCACTCTGCAGCCATACCTTCCTGTCAGGGCACAACTGTAGAGTACTTTGAGCGGGCCAGTCACGCAACAGTGTCACTTCTGTCAGCACCCTGGGTTTAACTTATGACTGTGACCATGGAGTCAGGGTTTTTTCAGCATTTGTAAGTAAGAGAAAACCAAGATACCAAAGCCATGTTACTGTAGTGTGAGTACAAGTTGGCCACTTCCAAAATGTTAAACTCAAGCATGGTCTATTGGGAAAACCAGAGAGTGCTTTCTTGGTTTTGCAGTCTCTGAAGTAGTCTAGCTATTAGAGGACGGTGAATAGTCAGTACCCGCCACCAGAGTTACAACTTCTTCCCTACTTTCCTGCTGGGTTACTATGTCTAATCCAAATAGGCTTTTCAAGGGACTGCTCATATAACTTGGCTGTCACAGTGTCTCGCTCAGCTGAGATGTTTTGAAGTTCATGCTGCCTGTAGGTGGGCTTGAAATGAGACCTACAGATCTGAATGAGGATCTGAATCCAACTTAAGGGGTGGGGAAGATGTTGACTTCTACTATTCTGGTTTGAGCCTCTCTGTGACTGGAAGGGTTAGGGCTGAAGGAGTATTTAGGAGGCTCCCACCTAGCTTAGATCAAGCCTATATTTATGGCTGGAAAGTTGCCATTGTAAGGGCCAGTGGCCAGGTATTTTTACTTGGAATCATTTTTTTTAGATGTCATGTGGCACCGGCTTTCTGGAGAACCAGATCTTCTATGTTCCTGCTGGAAAGCTGGAGGCCTTGTGTTCCTTGAATACCCTGCATTGTGCGCCCCATCCATTTTGGCAAACTTAGGATGGGATTCCTTGGGAGCTTGCCAGAGTTACTCTCTATCTGGCCAGTTGTGAATCAGTAATGTTGCAAGATGCTTCCTTCTTGTGCAAACTAAACAGCATGCTCCCAAAGTGCCCTCCTCCTCACACTTCACAGGGAGAATAAAAATCAAGCTGGAATCTCTTGCCTACCGATGCAAAGTGCCTGTACTAGTCCATCACCAGCAGTTAACAATGTTGCCTACAACATACTCCTTTTCCTTTCAGGATCCAGAAGAGAAAAGTGTTCGGAAAAAAAGTTTCTGAGAGCCCTGGCTGTTGTTTATACATTTAGATGCTGTGATTAAATTACATACATAATGCATAGTGTTTGTAATACATTATTAATAATAATAATACTGTCTTGTATTATTCGCACAGAAGAAGCATGCTTCCAGTGATGGTTCATTGGTCTATTCACACACAATTTTCATACATCTCTAAAGATTACCATTTTAACAGCTTTCTGTATGGATACTGCCAGGCAGTTACATTTAACAGTGCATAAATCTAATTCCCTCTGCACTCAATTTTCTCAGGCAGCAGAATCAATTTGAATCTGTCAGGATTTTATTCTAAAGTCTATTAATGCCCCTGCCTATTCCTGTAGTTTCTCTCTCTTAACAATCTCACTCTTTCATGAATTCATTCAGCTGCAGAAAAAGATGGCCCACTGATACAAACAGTCTTTTATCTCTTTACAAGGAAACCTAATTAGGCGTGAAGGAGACACAAAGAGGGTCACAATTAGCCCTCCAGCAATAAAGGTTAACAGTTGTGAAATCCTATAATAATGCCATTGAACTTTGTTATTATCAATAATGATGGCCTTTGACAAGGTCAGTATTATTATTCTTAACAGCCGAACACCAGGAAGGCACTTAACATACTTACCACATCAACATCTCTCTCCAGCCTCCCAAGCCCACCCCCAACACACTGTGACTTGGGCTCTAACACTGTCCCTGCTAACACCCATTGTCAGTACAGTATAATACAAGGGCTTTTGGTGAGGATCTGCTTGTCATATCTATTTACTATTGGCAAAAGAAGAGTGGGGTTTTTCTTTGGATTATATGACTGTACTTGATTAAAAGATGAAGTGGGACTGGTAATAAGATAATAAAATGAAACCATGCTTGAAAAATGTCCTTTAAGAATACACCAAAGATAGAAAAACTTCATTGCCATGAAAGGCAAATTTACTGACTTGATTAGATGTGTGATGTTTTCGAAGAACTTATGGGGAAAAGAATGGTTTGGCCCATTGGATTGGAATAATCAAGTTATCCAGAACCTCCTCTTAAAATCTGTAAAATTGAATAGAGTCTTAGCGTAGAATTTGAAACTAACTTGGAGAACGGTGTTAGAGGCCTGCTGAAAACTACTTAAGGGATGCTTTAAAAATTCAGGAGAAAGATTATGATTTTTGGTTAAATTCAATATGTTGCTTCCAGCAGGGGGACCATATCCATGGCAGCTAAGTATAGAATGGGCAGTCAGGTTTCCTCCCTATTAAGATATTGTACCATGCAAAAGTGTCATTGTCCTGCTATTTAGGGGGCTTGGCAGGCTTAGCAATGCTGTTCCCATGCTGTGGGCAGATTGCTCCTCTGATGCACAGATCAAGTCTCCATTACTTCTCATGCATGGTGGCACTTTAACTGGGACATCAGCTTGTGCGCTATACAGTAGTGATCTACGTTGCAGCTCAGAGAGCTGAATCTCACCTTGCATCTTGTTGGACGTGGCATGCTGCAGGGGATAAACAACAAACAGATGAATAAAGAGGCTGCTCTGGGGCGTGCCATAGTTAGGGTTGCCATATTCCCAGTATCAAAAAAGAGGACACCTGTTGTGCAGAGGGGAGGGTGTCTATGTTTGTGGGGGCAGTGACATGCTGGTGCCCTGCCCTTGCCCATTCCCTTGCCCCTCTCCCCCAAGCCCCACAGCCCTACTGCTGCCCATCGCTCCCGACCTGCAGACAGCTGGCCCTGTCAGTGCCTCTGACTGCCAACCTGCAGCCCCCTGGTGCTGCCAATACCCTGCATTCCCTACCACAGTCCCCTGCTCCCCTGGTGCCCCTCGCTCCCAAGCCACAACCCCTCCAGCCCTGCCAGTGCCCCTCACTCCTGACTCTCAGCCCTCTGCTCCCTCCAGCCCTGCAGCGTTTCCCAGCTGCCTCGCCTCTGTGAGCAAGGGCACCAGTTCCAGTGCCACCGGCTCAGCCCCACAGCTCCCTGCTGCCCTCAAAGGGCTCCCCCGACCCCTGCCCCCACCTCCTTCCCCCACCTACCCTCCACCCCTCATGCCTTGCTACAGCCCCAGGGCCTGGACAGCTTCCCCCAGTGCCAGTGGGCACCTGCCCCCCCTGAGACACCCATCCCCTCCACACACCCCTGCCACACACACACACACATAGACTCACATGTCCCACACAACCCCGCACGCAGTCCCCAAGTTCTGGCCCTCCAGCCCTCACTCCCCATCAAGTTACCTGCATCCCGATGCCGGGGCTGCCCCCACCACTCTGCCTGGCTGCATGCTGGCCGTGTGCGTGTGCATGCTCACATGCCTCCAATCACTCTCCCCACACTCCTCCCCAGCCCCAAGCAGCTCCTTGTTAGGGCAAGCTGGGAAAAAACTTTGAAGCTGAGCTGACTGAAATCCAGGGCATTCGATCATATTTAAAAAACCCCGCCTAGATGGAGATCAGAGGACCCAAAAAGAGGACACCTCTGGGAAAACCCAGACGTATGGTAACCTTAGTCATAGTGTCAGTATCATAGTAATTCTTATTGTCCATCAACGTTGAGTAGAAGGGCTGTTGTTGCAGGATGGGTTAACATGTAGGGATGCCATGACCTCTGGAAGAATGAGTATGGGAATATGCCTCTAGATGCTTTGCTGCATCATATGTTGAATGCTTCTGAGTTTCCTGAAGTGGAGCTATGTGTCTTGATGTAAATCCCAGTAGACCTACCTGCTTGTCCTGCCTGTTGTCCAGAAGATGCACCTTCCATTACCTATTGTAAGGGGTGCTGGATTTAGACCCTAGCTGAGGTCAAGGATAAACCACCAGAGAGTTAGATATTTTAGATTTAAGGGTCTGACAGAAACCAAAATTTTCAAACTCCCCTTCCTCTGCCCCACAATATAGATTCATAGACATTAGGGGCTGGAAGGGACTTCATGAGATCATTGAGCCCAACCCCCCTGCCATAGGCAGTAAGTCAGCTAGGATCAAGTGATCCCAGCAAGAAAAATAGCCAAGAGAACCATGTAAAA